CAGGCATTCCGGGCACATCTTGAAAAAAAATGTAACACATGGAGGAATTATATGTCGTGTATAACTGAGGCAAGCAGTACATGAGCATTGAAGCGCGAAATAATACTCACTTTTGTAATTGTATTGGAGTGTCAAGTGCGCCGCAGCTGAAAAACGTTATAGTCCATCTTCGGATCCCCTTATTAGTTGATGTAGTAAATTATGGAGTAGCAGCAAGCCACGGGCTGTGCTGAGGAAGCAATGTGGAGTAAATATACGACGTAGTAGAGGGATCTTTGCCGAAGAATTAGGACTAGTAGGATTTCAAGAGCGGTCCACTGGACAGAGTGTTTATATGAGTGAGGTGTGAGCGGTAATTTCGCGTTTTACAATATTCGTGTGAAAGTACAAATGTAGTAAGTAGGCGATTAAATTTCTGCAATAAACACTGCATGAGGAAGTACAATTTCATGAGTACGGTATATACGAGTACAGTATCTTGCGGAATACAATCAAAATGGATTATTGCTTGGTGAATGTGGGGAATGAATGTAACAAAGGGATGATGATAAAGGAGGCTTACTAGTACAGGAAAGTGTACTGTAATTACAATTTTAAGGAGAGTTCAAAATCAAAACTACCATTAATACAACAGTCAGCAGCGAAATTTTGTGGAAGTAAACCTGAAATAAAGGAGAACCAATTAGTGTTCGAGCCTTTGTCGCTTCTGCGGCGGCCCTTGCTTTGACCGCTCGGTGCAGAGAATAGCATGATGAGTTCCTCCGCAACCACGACATTTGTTCGAGCATTGGCCATGAGCGGGAGCAAGGCACGAGATGCATCTATTGAGATCTCGTAGACGAAACGATCTAGCAATTGGATCAGGGAATACAGAGCAAACAGAAGAGCGGTGACCGTCTTCATTGTCACCTTCACAGAAAATACATGGATGACGAGGAGTAGTATTGGTGAGAATAGTGTCGATCTTATTCTCAAGACGAAATACCTTGTTTTTAGTCTCTTGAATGTCATACTTCAGCAAATTAAGAGTAAGACGAGTAGAAACTTCAAAGGTATCGGGATGGGAGGCTGACGCTAGACCGGGCGCGTCCGCAGGTGCGTCTTTGTGAGGCGACTCGGAGGATGCAGCTGACTGTTTCGGCATGGTATCGGAACAGTTACTATGGAATAACATTTGGGAGAGAGAAACGGAGGCGTGCTTTGTCTTCTTTTTTATATATTTTGACAAGCACTGGCGCGGAGCCAAGGCCCGCTGAGTGAATGTGTTATTCGTTGCGATATCGACGTAAGAGGGAGAGAAGATTGGTGACGCACTCGAAGAAGGTTCGTAGGAGTGCAAGGATGATGGCGGTGAGTATACGGATTATGGCGATTATTACTGTAGGTCCAAGGAAGTATACAAGTAGTCCGATTACTGTAAAACCGCCGATAACCGCAGCCGTTATTTTCCAGTGCTTTAGTTATCGTGCCAAGAAGAGGACTGATGTCTGGAATTGCGAGATTATTCCACCAATTTCCATTACTGGCTGTTCCTTTTTGTATCACCTTCAAATATTTCGTGATCTAACGTGGGTGTGTGATAAAAAAGAGTACCAGATAAGTCGATTTTGGAGGTTTTCCCTCCACATCGAAATGAACAAATGTCTTTTACTCAGCATGATCGTATTGAAGCTTTAGGACATTTGGCTTTGTCTGCTTCGAGCAGCCGATAAGGAATGTTTGGTCTGTGCATTCCAGGGTTATATCGCTGGATGAATCTGAGCGACAGTACACTGTGGCTTTTGCTCCTTCCGAGCAGTCGTAGCACCCTGTTATGCTTGTTGCATGCATGGAGCAGGGAGGATCTACCACCACCTGTGCCATTTGGAATTGTTTTTTGACGTAACGAGTAATGTTACCTCGGTATCGTCTGTGTCAATCATCACTGTTTCCGAAGCAGTAATGTTTAGGTGAGGCTCTATGGCTGGCAAGTTGGTGGTGGAGTTCTGCGGTTCCTGAAAACTGTTTTGAGGGCAGACGCATTGTGCGGCCGCCATTGTGTGACTACACGAGCAAACCACCTCATTTGAACAATTGGCGAAGTGTTTTCTAGCAGTGTTCTCATCTGGACATTCGACGGCGATTTTGAATGCATCGCCTAGCATTTTGAATCCCGCTGCGGATTCTGCGAAGCGCTTACTTAGAGCGGCATGTATGATATGTTGCAGTGATGTTACCTTGATGTCCCATCCATCTATCATTTTTGACACGTATGGGTGTAACTGCAAGGGATTGCTCGTTGTGGTTCCAGTGAAGGTTGTTTCGAGCGAAATGTGGATTTCAGGATTCCACGAGGCGCACTTGAATATGTGGTATATTGCCTCACTCTTCGGTACTTGCGCAACTCTATAGAATAGGCAGCCTGGAAATGGTGTTAGGCAACCACAAGCCAGACCTGCGCAGGTGGAACTGCACATGGAATAGCCAGGGAATTTTTCGGCGTCATATAGTTCCGGAATACTTTCATCCTGCTGCAGGGTTCTACACTTGTTACCGAGACATGAACCCATGAAGGGGCAGCGTTTTTCGTAGAACACTTTCGCTGAAGTGTCCCGTGTATAGAACAGCGTCTGTTTGTTGCAAATCTGGCGTGCTCTCTGGAAGGTGAATTTGAGTTTGCCTACTGTGTGGTTTCGGTAGCGCAACATGACGCAAGCTTCTTTATGAAGCTTATTGAAGAAGAGTTCTTGTTCGTACTCGAGGGTGCATATGTTTGTTTCGTTGCATACCAGTTCCTTGCTGTAGTGCGTATGAAAGTGTTGGCAAGGAAGAGTTGGAAGAGCACATACTGTCAGCATTATCAGCGTGACCGCAACAAGAGTTGAGGGTTTTAGATTTCTGAGAGTGAATGAAGTTTCGGTATCTTCGTTCATTCGTCTTCTCGAGTGAAAGTGGCCTGTCGTTGGCCTGAGCTTTAGCCAGCTGTTTTTGATAAGGACACCAAGGAGAAGTATCGCTAGTAATATCACTGTTACAATTGATATTCGCTGTTATGATGGCGCCCTCCAGGCCAACAGTGAGGGTTTCCCAAAAGTGATGTGGTGAAAAGTGTCTTGTCGGCACAGAAGGGTTGCCGAGCACATACCAGACTCTCTTTAATATTGCGTTCTGGCATATGGCTTATCAGGGTAACATTCATGATTTCTTCATGTGCAGACGGTGGCTAGCACAAATGTTGATGTTTGCTTTCTGGTTATGCGCTTACATGCCTTGTTGAAGCACAAAGTGTAAAACTTTGAGGAAGGAGAGACGGTGAGCGTTCCGTTCTCGCAGAAGATTCCAGCAGCAGATATGCTGGGGAGCAATGATAGTAGAAGGATGGGATAAAGAATCATCCTGGAGAAGAGCAGGTTGTTGAGTGGTGTGTATATGGTGACTCCTCTAGGTCATGCTCAGAGTCAAAGTATTTGACTTTTTGTTTAGCCTTTCTCGGAAGCGGAGCTCTTCGTTCTATTTGAGGTTTGCTGTTGTCGTTTGGTTGCGATCGTGCAGGCTGGGATTCACGAATCGCGCTACGAATTTCGAGCGGTATCAGCTTCGTTATTGGGCGATGGCAGATGTTTCCTGAAGGAGTTAGTACTTTCGCCGAACGAATTAATCCGTCAGTGCTCTGCACTAGGTCAGTTACGCGACCGAGTGGCCAGTTGCTACGTGGGACTAGTCCGTCTTGTTGTATGAGGACTATTTCTCCTACCTCGGGGAACCTTGCGTGAAGCATGTCTTCCTTGCTTCATGAGCGCTTTATGAATGTCTCGTAGCTCTGTTAAATACTCGTTTTGCCATCTGTTCCAGAAGTGGTTCGCCATTTTCTCAGCAAAGTCTATCGCTTCTTTGGCTTGTTCCATTGTAGCGATTGTGGCTTCTTCGTAGGAGGGATCATTTAGCTCTTCTACATCCTTGTTTTCAGGGAGCGCAAACTTGATATTTCCTTGCAGGAAATCTATAGGACGCAAAGGGAGGGACTTCAAGTCATCGGGATCCACCTTTGTCAGCGGCCGTGTGTTCACAACCGCCTCAATGCAAGCCAGAACTGTTGCAAATTTTGTGAAAGACAGCTTCTTGCGTCCTATGGTCTTGGAGAGGCACTTTTTGACCGTTCCCACGATTCTTTCCCAAACTCCTCCCATCCACGGTGCTGCGGGAGGATTGAAAATCCACTTGATGTTATTAGTTGCCGAATAGGCCATGACTGAACGTCCTTCGTTATCCTTCTGGAAGAGGAGATCTAATACTTTAGCACCAAGAACAAAGTTGCTTCCACAGTCGGATCGCATTA